TTTTTTTTTTTTTTTTTTTTTTTTTTTTAATAGAAACGGGGTTTCCCCATATTGGCCAGGCTGGTCTTGAACTCCTGACCTCATGTGATCCGCATGCCTCGGCCTCCCAAACTGCTGGGATTACAGGCGTGAGCCACTGCGCCCAGCCAAGTCATTACTTCTAAAGGATCCCAATCTCAAACTTCATGAAATTCATAACCCAGCATACTAAAATGACTAAGACTCCATAACGAAGCAGCTTCTAATATTCAGAGTCCACTTGTTCGTAGATAAAGCTAAGTACACTTCTACTCTAAGGGAAAATAAAATCTATGGAATTTCAAGAAAAATGTACAAGAATATTTTCTGAGTATACTGTCTATAAGCACTAAAATATTAACTCAATGGAGCATAACTTTTTTAAACTAATGAAAAGACATTCCTGACCAGGCATGGTGGCTCACACCTTTAATCCCAACACTTTGGGAGGCCGAGGCAGACAGATCACCTGAGGTCGGGAGTTTGAAACCAGACTGACCAACATGGAGGAACCCCATGTCTACTAACAATACAAAAAAAATTAGGTGGGCATGGTGCTGCATGCCTGTAATCCCAGCTACTCAGGAGGCTGAGGCAGGAAAGTCGCTTGAACCTGGGAGGTGGAGGTTGCAGTGAGCCAAGATTCTGCCATTGTACTCCAGCCTGGGCAACAAGAGCGAAACTCCACTTCAAAAAACAAAAAGAAAAGACGTTCCTAATGTATCTAAAAACAGCACATTTAACATGTATCTATATAAATCAGAGCATACCATTACTTTCTTTCTGAAAGGGGACTGAAACATAAACGAGTTTATAACCTTTTCTGACAGGGTGTGAACTTGTCTATATGAATACCACAGTAAGCTGTTAGTAGATGAGGGAATAAAATAAGCACATGACTAATTCTGAAACACAAAGATAACTGAAGTCTGCCAATATTTAAAAATACCTTCACTTCCTGTTTTCATCATGTTTACATATCTCCTATACTACCTTTACTATTAAGAGTTAAATATTTGTATCATTTTCTGGTGACACAGTAGTAACATAAGGCAGTAGAGAATACAAGCTAAAAAAAGACCTGGGCTCAAATCCCAGTGCCAGCACTGAAAAAGTACGTGTGTCTTTGCACAAATTACTTGATCTCCAAGCCTTGGTTGTCTCTTACATAAAATGAGGATAATACATATCTAACATGCAAGGTTGTTGTGAAGCTTAAATAAGATAACCAATCATAAAGAAACGCTTAGTTTGCAGGGTATGTTAAAAGTTATTATGACTATAATACAAAATAAGCTCAAAGTCTCCAGTCTAAAAGACAATGTACAAACAGTTCATGAGTATATGAATATAATTAAAACAAGTTTTTACAGTCAATATAGAGCAACTTAAATGCTTCACTTCAATCAGGTAATCTGTTGCTATCAACAAATCTGTTTCCAACTAGGAAGCATCTCATTTCAAACTAAACTGTAAAAATCAAGAGCAGTTTCCCCATTAGTTAGAAATAAGGTTTTTAAATCCCATAAATTATGAACACAGATTTTTTTTTTCCAAAAAAAATTTTGGGTTTTCAGAAATATAACCAAAAAACTCACTGGAATAGAGCCACTGTCTTAGAAATGCCTAAGAACTCCCCAGTTGCTAAATTATTTCAATACAAATTTATCAAAACATCTCCAACCAGAACTCAGGTTGTAAGCACTCTGAACCTAAAAGCACTAAATGGTTGAGCATTTACACAAAATTTCTATTTTTATAGAATCTTAACTGCTTCAGTTTCAAAAATGTCAATGTCAGGCTGTTAGCACCAACAAGATCATCCCAGTCCAATAAATAGAAAACTGTTAAAGAACGGAAATGAGCACTTAAAATGAGGCAATCAAAACCACAAAATAGAAATTGCAGATTTGAACTCCAAGAAGCAGGCATAAATGTTAGGCTAGTTAGAAGAGCTGAAAGAGATATCATCTGCCAGAATTAGTGTCTCAATTTAGTGAAAAAGGAAAATCTGTTAAGTCTAAGAATCCTAGTAAGGATCCAAAAATACCTCTACAGCCCCTTTAATATTCTAAAAATACCATGGAGAGAAAAAAAAGAAATGCATAAATTTCCCCGAAATGATCAAACTGAAGTTAAAGCCTGATGTACATGCCACATGAGAGGTAAGTTTCTAAAGCTCATACCTCAAAAATCGCATACTGTATAATATGGAGTCTTTGTGATGTTTTGCATCAAGTCAATCTGTAAGACAGCAGTTACAATATTAGTGAAGACAGTGGGTTAAAACATTTGTTGTTCAAACATGAAGCAAATATCAATCATGAGTTAGGTGCTTTTAGTTGAACTATGGTCCCATTAGGGTTCATACATTAAAGCAAAAATTGAGGTGGAAAGCTACTCTGCACCTTAGAGAAGAAAGAGGCTTAATGTGGCAACTAAAAAAAATTTAGCACATTTAAAAGAATTTAAATGTTAACTATAACATACAAATCACATGCAAATATAGTTACCACTTATTTTAGTTACCTATTCTCAATATACAGAAAAATGCCATAAATCTAGGAGGCCATTCGTTTCAAATGACTGGAATCCTCAGACCTCACATTAACAATCCACCATGTGCTGGGGATAGTATCACCTAACTAAATGCAGACTTGCTGTCTAGTTCTTGTAGGCATTAGAGAGAAAAAGAGAGAGTCATCTCTGTAAAATGTGAAGTCAGGGAACTCCTTACTAGGAAGCATTTCCATAAAGTATCCCAAAATGACTTGATGCAAACACCACACCTAGTGGTGTCACTGGAGTAAGCATCATATTACTTCAAATTGCTCTTACCTAGGTTTATTAAGGGATTTTGCTCTCAGGGTCATATCTAATTTGTAATGGATATAAACCAGGAAATGAGATTTGCACTAAAGTCAATGAAGTAGGAATGTACTTATTCTCTAAAGTAGCAAAAATAGTGTCATTGTCACAGAGCAGTTGTAGGATATGCTGTTCTCTACACTAACAGTTAATGCTACTTGAAAATGATTTACCCTTCAAAAATAAATTCAAGGTTATCCCCTGTAATGCCTCCTACCTGGATTCAAACATGCTTTAATGAAGAATTAAGAGAAAGGGTGAAACTATGAATAACACTGGGCCTTGTGTGTATCATTACATCAGAAATACTGCTCTAAGTATGAGTCTATTGCTAAAACATTAATTTGAGAGGCTCAGGGAATTTATTATACAAATCTCTTCTCACAGAGAACTTTAAGTTCAAATTTAATAAAACAAAACAGAACCACTGCACGTCAAAATTATAAATGAGTATGCATCAGTTTTGTGATACTGAAATATTAAATTAACATAACTTCTTGGTAAATCTAGCTTAGCTCTCTAAGTATTAAGTGTCTACAATAACCAAGTCTTAATTACTCATTTATGGGTGATTGGTTTCCTTTTTGAGACAGGGTCTCACTCTATCACCCAGGCTGGAGTGCACTGGCATGATCACAGCTCACTGCAGCCTCGATCTCATGGGTTCAGCCTCCCAAATGGCTGGGAGCACAGGTGCATGCCACCCAATTTAGCTAATTTTTTATTTTTATGCTTTTTTTTTTTTTTCTTTTTTCTGAGACGGAGTTTCGCTCTTGTTACCCAGGCTGGAGTGCAATGGCGCGATCTCGGCTCACCGCAACCTCCGCCTCCCGGGTTCAGGCAATTCTCCTGCCTCAGCCTCCTGAGTAGCTGGGATTACAGGCACGCGTCACCATGCCCAGCTAATTTTTTGTATTTTTAGTAGAGACGGGGTTTCACCGTGTTGACCAGGATGGTCTCGATCTCTTGACCTTGTGATCCACCCGCCTCGGCCTCCCAAAGTGCTGGGATTACAGGCTTGAGCCACCGCGCCCGGCTATTTTTATGCTTTTATAGAGACAGAGGTCTCATTATATCGCCCAGGCTGCTCTCAAATTCCTGGACTCAAGCAATCCTCCCACCTCAGTCTCCCAAAATGATGGGATTAGAGGCATGAATGACCACATCTGGATTGTCACCAATTTTTAATTATAAGTCTGTCAAATAAACAGCCAATGTAGACAGATAAAATATATTTAACTATTATATAATTGTAAAAAATTTTATCTTGCCAAAGGAGAGGTCTGGCTTTCACCTGTGGCTTCTGGAAGGTAATCTCTAAACTCCTGAAATGTCATACCTAGTAAGAGGGTCCTGGCCAGGAGCAGTGGCTCACACCTGTAATCCCAGCACTTTGGGAGGCCAAGGCGGGCAGAATGCTTGAGGTCAGAATTTTGAGACCAGCCTGGGCAACATGGTGAAACCTAACTCTACTAAAAATATAAAAATTAGCCGGGCATGGTGGTGGGCACCTGTAATACCAGCTACTCAAGAGGCTAAGGTTTCAGTGAGCTGAGATCACCACACTGCACTCCAGAATGGGCAACAAAGCAAGACTGTCTCTCGAAAAAAAAAAGTATCCTTGTTCATCTGGGATCTTGGGGCTTTAGGCCACAGCAGAGTCTAACAATGTGGCTTAGGGTGGGGGTTTTGAGTCACATGGATCAGCTTGACCTCCAGAGGGGCTGGAGACTAAGGTCAGCCACATGCAACCATGAAGCCCCAGTATAAACTTTGGACATAAAAAATGGAGTGAGCTTCCCTGGTTGGCAATAATCCACAAGTATTGTCGTACATCATTACCACAAGGAAGGTATCATTTTTCACAACTCTGCAGGGAGAGGACAATCAGAAGCTCTAACACTTGGAACCTTCCTGAACTATGTGCCTCTATCCTTGGCTGATTTTAATCTGAATCCTTAAACTGCAATAAATTCTAAATGTGCCTATGGGAGTTTTCAGTGAGTTCTGCTGAGTCCTCCTGGAGAATCATGCAACCTAAGAATGGTATTGGCCAGGCGTAGTGGCTCAAACCTGTAATCCCAGCACTCTGGGAGGCCCAGGCAGGCAGATCGATTCAGCTCAAGAGTTTGAGACCAGCCTGGCAATACGGTGAAACTCCCGCGTCTATAAAAACATACAAAAATACAAAAATTAGCCAGGCGAGGTGGTACGCGCCCACAAACCCAGCTACTCAGGTGGCTGAGGTAGGAGAATTGCCTGAAGCTGGGAGAGAGGAGTTCAGGGCTGCAGTGAGCCGTGATCATGCCACTGCACTCTTGCCTGGGTGACAGAGAGAGACCCTGTCTCAAAACAAAAACAAAAACAAAAAAACCAAAACAGAGTGGTCTTGGGAACCCCGAAACTTGGAATTAGTATTACAAGCAAGGGTCATCTTATGGACTGGACTCCCTCTTACTCTGCATTCATATTTAAAACGATTAAATGTATTATAGCTCAAACAAAGATTATAATTTTTTTGGTTTTTTTTGAGACAAGGTCTCACTCTGTCACCCAGGCTGGAGTGCAGTGCCACAATCTGGGCTCAAGAAATCCTCCAATCTCAACCTCCCGAGTAGCTAGGACCACAGGCTTACTCCACCATGCCTAATTTTTTATTTTTCTTGTCCCATTCTCTACAACATCCCCAAAATATTGCCCAAGCTGGTCTCCCACTCCTGGGCTCAAGTGATCCACTCACCTCAGTCTCCCAAAGTGTTGGGATTATAGGCATGAGCCACAGCACCCGGCCATAAATTTTCTTTTTTAATAACATTTTTAGGAAACATAATAAAGATTTGACTTCAAAGTTACTTATTTCCCTTCCAAAGAACCTCAAATATTCTCTATTCTCAGACCTGCAATCAAATTAGCCAGAGTAGCAAACGAAGCCAATAACTCAGGAGGGCAATAGATCTGATTTTAACCTTTGCTTCACGTGCACAATTGTCTTCAGAGAAAAGCTGGTGAAAGTACCCCGTCACCTCCAAGCCCCAATGCTCCTTTTCTCTCCCTTCAGGTGGGCCTCCAATGCTGCCCACATATCCCTCACCAAGTTTCTTTCCTTTCCAAAACACCTGTAAAACTTTCTGCACCCTCTTCCTTCTCCCACCACCAGTGTATGATCTTATAAATTTTTGCTTCATGTGAAATAGAAGCCATTTGACAGCACCCTTAGCAAGAGCTAACATTTTAGCTCCTAACAAGAGCTAGTGGGCAACTGATCCAAGCAGTTTACATACATTTGTCATTTCATAACTAAATATAATTTTACAGATTGATAACTAACGTTTTATAACTGACCTAGGGTTGCATAGCTTGTAAAAGGCAGAACCAGAACTCAGACCCACTTCTGTCTAATGTTTAAGCTCTTCAATACTCCACCACTGCCTGCCATCTTCCTTCTAATATATCCACAAATTCACCTGCATCTGCACACACAGCTTTTCTTCCCATCATCTTTGCACAGTAGAACAAATAAACCTCCTATCCATAGAAATCATCTGGATCTGTCTATTCCCCCAATTTTCCAAGGTATGACTTGTCTCTCTTTTGAATGTTGCAAAATTTCCCATTTTACTATTGCTTACCATCAACATATGAGCACTCTCAAAAGTCTTACCTTTAAAAAAAAAAAAAAAAAAAAAACAGCTGGACACAGTGGCTCATGCCTGTAATCACAGCACTTCGGGAAGCTGAAACGTGCACGTGCAAATCACGGGGTCAGGAGATCGAGACCATCCTGACCAACATGATGAAACCACGTCTCTACTAAAATTAAAAAAAAAAAATTAGCTGGGCATGGTGGCATGCGCCTGTAGTCCCAGCTACTCAGGTGGCTGAGGCAGGTAACTCACTTGAACCCAGGAGGTGAAGGTTGCAGTGAGCCGAGATCACACCACTGTACTCCAGCCTGGCAACAGGGCAAGACTCTGTCTCAAAAAAAAAAAAAAACCTTTAACTGCCTTTCTCCCTCTATCAATCTAATTGTCTACACTCTTCACAGACAAACCTGTTGAAAAATTCACCTTCCTTGCCTTCACTTATTTTTCAACCCAACTTTAATCTGGGTTCCAGCTACAACATAACCACTGAAGCTATTCCTACCAAGGTAGGAACTACCACTTAAGGCCTTCTTGGCTCTAAAATTCCATCAGCCTTTTCAGTTCACCTTACACTTTTTCAATACCATTCTAAAGTTTATGAGTTTTCTACCTAACTTTAATTCCAGTGACTCTCTCTACCTTTTCCCAATCCAAGTATTCTCTTCCTTCTTCACTTTTTTTTTGTTTGTTTGTTTGTTTGTTTGTTTGTTTTGAGATGGAGTTTCGCTCTTGATACCCAGGCTGGAGTGCAATGGCGCGATCTCAGCTCACCGCAACCTCCACCTCCTGGGTTCAGGCAATTCTCCTGCCTCAGCCTCCTGAGTAGCTGGGATTACAGGCACACACCACCATGCCCAGCTAATATTTTGTATTTTTAGTAGAGACGGGGTTTCACCATGTTGACCATGGATGGTCTCGATCTCTTGACCTCGTGATCCACCCGCCTCGGCCTCCCAAAGTGCTGGGATTACAGGCTTGAGCCACCGCGCCCGGCCCCCCACTTTTTTTTTTTTTTTTTTGAGACAGAGTCACACGTTGTTGCCCAGGCTGGAGCGCAGTGATGCAATCTTGTCTCACTGTAACCTCTGCCTCCTAGGTTCAAGCAATTCTCCCACCTCAGCCTCCCAAGTAGCTGAGATCAAAGGTCCCTGCCAACATGCCTGGCAAATTTTTGTACTTTTAGTTGAGACAGGGTTTCACCACGTTGGCCAGGCTAGTCTCAAACTCCTGACCTCATGCAATCCACCCCCCTCGGCCTCCCAAAGTGCTGGCATTACAGACTGGAGCCACCATACCTGGCCCCTTCTTCACTTCTTTAACCAGCTTATATTTCATTGTGTATCATTATTTCAATAACACTCTTGCCTACATCCTTAACTCTAAGATTTTCTTCACACCAATCTGGCAAAACCCCAATCCTGGATAAACCCAGGGATTCATCAATAAGCACCACACTCCCAGGTCCTCCAGCGTTTATTTCCCATTCTATACATGCACTATCTGGACATTCCCATTCTCTTCAAATTCTAAAATATCCTATCACCTCCCCTCCCCATACACACATTCTACTTCACCAAGGTCAAAAAAAGATACCGACTGCGCGTGGTGGCTCACGCCTGTAATCCCTGTATTTTGGGGAGGCCAAGGCAGGTAGATCATCTGAGGTTAGGAGTTCAAGACCATCCTGGACAACATGGTGAAACCTCATCACTACTAAAAATAGAAAAATTAGATGGGTTTGGCAGTACAATCCCAGCTACATGAGAGGCAGAGGCAGGAGAATTGCTTGAACCCAGGAGGTGGAGGTTGCAGTGAGCCAAGAATGCACCACTGCACTCCAGCCTGGGCAAGAATAGTGAAACTCTGTTTTTTGTGTTGTTTTTTTCTTTTTAAATAGATGCCATAACATACCTGCACCTGATTCTAGACCTTAGTTAGGATTCCATCTACTTCCACACCTTATTGTAACTTTTCAAATACCTTTCCCAGTGAACTAAATCCTTCCCTTAAACATGCAAGGC